TTTGAAATGTGAATATTGTAAGCAACCCTCACTTACTACGAGCTGTGATTCAATTCTCCCTCTTCTTGCAAACGCTAAATGCTTCACTTGAGTTCCATTTAAACAACAGCTTCGAAGTTCAACAGTGACGAATTTCAGCATACTATTGCACAGATCCGCTAAGTAGAAACGGTGTAATGTTTCGCGTAAAACGTTTACAAATAATCGGTGTTTTACGCTACTAGCCACTTTACTCACGTTGTGGAGATGGAAGTTCGAAGTCCTTCTCTGCAATTGCAAATGTGATAGGGAATTTGTATAGATCACAGTACCAGTTATAGATAGTGTGTGTTAAATGTTTGTCCCAGTGGTTCTCATAAATAAATGTATAGACATAAAATTTTATAATATAGCACAACTGAAAGAGGTGAACCCATGTTTGTCGATCACGAACTACCATCAATGAATGCTATTATTCAAGAGTCCAAGGAAACCTTCCACCAGTTTCGTCTACAACGTGACCAGATTGAAAGTGTCTCGGAAGGAATATCTTCTCACTACGATAAGAAACGTTTTGTATTCTTGTAGATGAACTGTACCATATCCTGTGTAGACAGTGGGATAGATTGTGGGCTTACGTTCTTCCGGCGAATTTCCAGGTTTAACCAAAATTAGGAGGGGCTGGGTGGATGGTGACGATAGATAAGAACTGTTGATAACCATTGATCTCATCGTAAAAGTAATGTAGTGTTTCCTAGTTTTTCAGTTTAACTGAATCTATTTTCTGACTCACAAAGCGATCTGTCACGAAAGCCGTATAATTCCACAAAAGTAACTCTCAAACGACGTAGACTTTGAAAACAAGCATCTTTTAGTTATAGCTTCACGTCTTGTACTGATATGCTTCTGTTTTGGTCAATAAATGTTCTGTTTTTGCATTTATGCAATTTACTGCTCCACTGTGTGTCATCCGGAAACACTTCTATCTTTCGCATTACTGAAGTCTTATTTACACTCATCAAAAACTTACCAGCCCTTTCAAACAAGTAGAAGTTCACCACTTTGAATAAAATCAGTTCCGTGCGATAACAAACCCCGCCCCCCCCCCCACGTGGTGGTGCAGTGGTGCTTTCATTGCGTTAAATAACATTTTTCTGAGTTAAATCGTTTGCAATCTCCAGTGTCCTTTGATTCATTATATACGCATGTGAAGCAATCTTGCATTCAGTACTTTCAATACCAGTTCCTACTGAACAGTTGTGCAAGTATATGCTGGCAGAGGAATTCACAAATGTAATTGTAATTACATCGCACACATCTATCGGGTGCTTCACGATATAGTGAGTGAATTTATCGGTTTACCGCATCCACTAAAACCTTGAATATCAATTGTATGAGCACTCACCTAATATAATTGATTGGCAGTACATGGTTCAATGCCGAGTCCAAGCCTGGAAACGTCCCTGGTTACAAAATTCACGATTGGTTATTGTGGACAAATGCAAACTGATACACGAGAATCGAAGCGCATTGTTCCTGAGCTCCTTAGGTGCCCCAGATCGTGGCGGAGTGAATATGACCTATGTGGCCGATGTGCTTCCGCGTTTGGTGAAAATGTTCAATCGCCGCGAAAACCTGACCTACACGTACGAGAAACAGAATATTGAAAAATTAGAACAACAAATTGTGGCCGGACTGAAGTTGAATTTCGACTTGTTTTTGAAACCACAACCAGGATCATCGAAATGTGCGAACAAGGAGAGTAGCACACGCAACTGTCCACCGGAAAATGTGAGTTGTCGTGTTACTTGACAAAAAGGATGGTATTTTTGATTCATTTTCAACCTGGTGTGATTCTACCTCAAAAGTGCAAGAAATTCGTAGAACATGTGCCGTACGTCAAAGCGCTCGGTCTGAAACGATTACGCAATGACGGTAAATTCTATATAATTCTCATTTTATTCTTGACTCTTCCCGTACCCACCCACCCAAAACAAATCCTTCATGAGTTAAAAATGTCCACGTTATTCAGAACATCATGGCGAACAGAATCTGGTTGACGAGTTGGAGTCAAACCAGAATCTAGAGTCCCGAATCAGCTCCGATCATAGAAAAAATGTTGACACCTAAATAATGCATGATAATGGTGGTTCGGGATGCTTATTTATACCCGCCAACAAAACTTACCGTCAATTATACGACTGTATGTGACAAAACAATCATGTACGAACACTCACTTGAGATTTCAACACTAACAGACTATGAAGCATTTCAACGTCAACGGAAGAACACGGGTGAGCCCTGTTGGACATTTCTCTGTCATCAATTTACTACATTTAAGGGGCACTTGACAGACTGCAACGCTACTTGGGTGTCCGGTAACGGTCATTCGTGCTTCATTAAAAAGGGCACGGTGAGTGTGTCTCCGGTAGTGATGGGACCAGGTTTACTATTATCATGAATGACTTTCCAAATCATCCTGACCGCAAAACACAAACAGCCGTCGGGGCCTGTGTCGTATGCGGGCAGGTTTCCAGATGCGCAGGTACCAGCGTTTGGTCCAGCCGGTTCGAAAGGAAGGGAGGAACTGATTCAAACAGTGAATCAGTCAGGCGATTACAAAGGGAGTGTGGTTAAACTTTGTCACTTTGCGTGCGTGTGTACTTCGCGTGGATGTCACACGTGTGTTGATCACCCGAACTGATAACTCGTTCACGTATTCGATCCCTCATTGCGAAAATGTACGTACTTGGATTTTTGGTGCATGCACAATTATCAGGTTTCCACTCTGTTTGCTGCCTGCGTGGGTCATTTCTAACGCTCAAAGTCAGATTGTCTCTGATCCATTTTGGTGCAGGTCTGCGTTGTGTAGTAAATATGATTCCCATCAGAACTGAATGACCATCAAGGTCGTTACAGGATTCTTCCTTCTTGCACGTATTTGATGGAATGAATACTATCATAGTTACCGAAGGAATTCGTTCAANCATAATGCAAATACAGTAGAGGAGAAATGGAGTTTATTTTAGTCAAGTGATAGTTGTTGGTTGCACCCAAACTGACTTCCAAACCTTCCGTATTGGGAACACAATTCTGGTGATTCACGAGTAAAATATCATAAATCTCATGTGAGAATGAAAACTGGAATTTCGGGTGTGAGTTACCATCAAATTGAGTGGAATGGGTAATTGTAGACGGTCCCGTGGGATTATGCATATGCTGGCACACTTTCGGTTCATATACTGGGCAGATTGTTTNGAAATTTGTTCGGAATGGTCAATGTTATTTTGAAATGTGCATTTGGCTGGGGGCGGGAGTAACATTTGCGTTAGAATCCCGAATTGATGGGAGAAATGAACAGCTTTGACTGAACTCTTGTATTTGTAGATCGTTCAGAGTTCAAATGACTGTGGCCAGGTCAATGTACACTTTCCTAAATGGGTCGGGTTTGAAGAAACCGGATGATTCCCTCAAAGCGCTTTATTGGGTCATGCCAAACCTTCACTCGGTCAAAATGGCAAAATAGCTGTAACTGTCGGCGACATATAATCGATGAAGGGACAGCTGTGTATTCTACAAATTTCAAAGCAATCCTCGAACTAACTCTTTAGATTTTAGTTCCACGTGGGAAAGGCACACGCTCTACCAGCTAAGCTACGAATCCAGGTAGCTCAGATGGTCGAGCTTGAGCTTCACAAAGACGAAGAAGGCGGTCACGCGCTGGTTAGAATCCAACCGAGGGCAGAGGTTTTCACAATTGCAATATAGGACTTTAATCTACCAAACAACAATTTGAATAATTCTTTGTTGTTTTGAAAAAAATATTAAAATCTCCAGGACCACCTAAATAAACTATGAAATTAACACGATGCATAAAATGGGCTAGACGAATCAAGCATTTGCACTATGATTTGCGAGAAGACCTGCTCCATCAAGCGTTTCAGCGCAATCAAATCTTGAAGAGATAACAATATCCGTACAAAATCGGGTAAGCTTTGAAGGAATAACTGAGAATTGGTATTCCACTCAAAGAATAGAACGTAATGAATTTGATGATCCAAGGTGCTATTAATGACAACGCATGCAGATAACAAACAAATAAAAGCACCTCATTATTATTCCAAATTATCAAAAACGATGTCTCCTTTATTCAGGCCAATGCTCTGACAATGTATTCATTCAGTTACCTTTCAAGTTCATGCTATCAGGGTCACTGAGTGTTTGAGGTGGCAACATAGTTTCAATGGGTACAGGTAATTTTATGAATGTTTGATCTGTTACCTAAGATTGTTATACTTATTCCACTTATTGCTCCGCCACGAGGTATGAGCAGGGACGAAAGAGCGCCCATTACCTTCCCTTTCTCCCACGTCTAACCAGTTTTAATGGTCTTTTGTCTCATCAGCTCGTTAAGGTTTGCATCGATATTGCAAAATGAATCACATTTCCATTCAACTTATTTCGCTACTAGTGGACAATGAAAAATCAGGGATGTGGCAAAGTGAATTCTTTCAAAAACAGAAGCCAAAAGAATATCATGCATAGACTAAAAACATGAAAATACGAGTGAAATCCTCATACGTGACACAGAATGGGCATGGATGTTATTCGGACAGTATGAGTGAACAGCCATCGGTGAACTAAAATAGAAAATTGTATTCGTTTGTTAGAAAAATGTGAATTGTGTTATTCTGTTATTTAGCCCATCATAAAAGACAGTTTATTGTCAGAAAAACTTTCCTGAAAAAACTGGTCTCTTGGACTTATTTATTCACAATTACGCTCAAGTTACTTTGGGCATAGTTTAAAATTACACGCACATAGTGAGCGAAATGTGCTATTGGTTTCTTCTTAATATGGAAAACATATTTAAATCAAACTACATCCCAGTAATAATGAGATCGGATTAGAAAATGGATACAATGACTGCGAAGCCATTCATGCTTTGAAATAAAAATAGTTCACTGTTTTTAAATCCTGTCAAAAATAGGCATTAATTCTGAGTAGCACTGTATGCAATTTTTGTAATGTTAGAGATGATCGATTGTGCAGTGAGAAGATTGTGTTTTCATTCGACCACTCTAGGAGTTTTATATCGAACGGTTTTACCGGTTTCCGCTCTGTGTTTGCGTGTATTTCAGCATTTCTATCTCTGTAAGGCCTCAGTTTGGTTACGTGAATGGATGAATTCGGAAATTCTCAGTTTGGACGATTGCATGATGGTTGAAATGCCAAAATCCACGTTGATCGGTGTTCCACAACCCCTGGAGGTGAAAAAGTCGAATCCGAAATTGAAGGATATCACAGAACGTGCCACCAAATTGTACAATGAGAAACTAGCCGACGATTTTGTGTTCGGTAATGGTCAAATATCCGATGCGGAGGAACAGGTAAGCCCCTCCTTTCGCTAATCAATTCTTCTCTGCGCTTCAGGTTGTGGCAGGTCTACTGACAAAATTCAAGTTGCGTTTGGAGCCAGTAGCCTGTAAATTGAACGCCAATAGACGTCGATGCGATGTAAGAGGTTCTCGAGTAAGTCAAAATTGGTTGCATTTTAAACTTGTTAATTTGGTTGTTAACTTGACTTCACAAAGGTTCTGCCGTCTAAATTTGTATCTGTATTTAGAATGTGTTGTCTAGCAAAGCCTTATACAAAATATTATGAATGTGTATAAACAACATCTGGATGCACTTCCATGTGCAACTGAGGCCTGGCTTAAAAGAGAAAGGCAAACTCATATGCAAGGTGTAAGGTGTTTCAGATCAAATTTGTCATGTAAGCATGTGTGTGTGTTTAGGTAGTGTGATCGTTCATAAACTTTGTTTAAAGAAAATGTCCTATTTTTCATTAACCGATAACTTCAGACCGGTGTTTATTGCACTGGAGACTGTTGAAGCTTCAATGATCTCTGCTGTTTCTTTTCGTTAATAATCACCGAGGTTTGATTTCATGATTCAATTGCGACGCAGTGTCAAACTGTGGCAAGTTCCTGAGAACGTTCTCAAAATTTGTCGCACGAGATTTATGTTGCTCAATTTGAATCCGGATATATGTTTCGCTGTATCTGATGAGATGCATAATGCAGATCACATGATATAAAAGATGACCAATATATATATATATATACATATTAATATTAATAAATATATAAATATATATCTATATTATTACCAACTTATTTTCCTCACTTAGGACAAAGGATCGGTTCAACCGACGTACTACCTTCTATCCCACATCAGCTAACGTCTGCTGCAGTTTGCTTAGGCAATTGCCTTTTAAGAATAGAAACCCTTGTTTGTTTGAACAAAACGAGTTACGGCTTGGTAAACTATGACAATTTTGAATGAATTTTCGGTAATTTTGTCAATTTGTTGTGATCATTTATACTATTTTATCTAATAGGTTACAGTGAAATATAAACGGATACCAAATTATACAACCTGAACCGATTACATTCTCTCTTTCGGTTCACTATGGGAAAACGTCTTCACAAAAGTAATGACTAAACAGCTCGCCAGGTGTGACATGGACAGATGTAGAATGCAGGCGATATAATGCGGTTGTGTACTGTCCTCGAAACAAAAGCCGAATGTGAATAGCTCCACTAAAGAGGGAAATTGGTATCACTTGTACGCGATACTAAAACATAACTATAGATTTGACTAAAAACATGGAACCATGGAAAAAAGACACACAGAAGAGATACTGAGCAGTTATTAGGAGATAAGTCAAAAAGGCGCATATCGGCGCGGTCACTGTGTTGTGAAATCATAGAATACCAAGATGTCTTCCATTTCACATTCATAAAACTAATGCCGGGATAATAAATAATACGATTTTTATGAAGTAAAAACATTTCACTTATTGAGATAAAAAGCCAAATTTCAAGCAGTCACACATCGAATTAAACGCTTCAAGTGCTGTTGATAATTTGATCAGGTGTGATTTCATAACCCCCCCCCCCCGC